ATAAAATATGAGACTTGTTTTTTTCAAGTGTCTTTATCATTTGCAAAGTGATATGAATACGTGACGGTGATAATTTTTTATTTGAATTATAAGTCGTCACAGCAAATTGAAATCTGAACATAATTGAATTGATAGGAATAAACATCGTCTTGATGAAAAATTTCACAAAGCCTTGTTTCCTCAGAATTCGACTTGGATATGTTATAAAAATATAATTTTTTTTTAATATTCAAAATTGAGTACTCATAAGGTGTATTTGGTACCCATTCTTTGGGAAGTGTAATTCAATATTGAACGTAGAAAGTTGTTTTAGATAAGCTCTCTGATGTGTGATCTGAAAAGAAATGTCTATGAATGATGTACGTTCCATCCCATTTCCAATATCGAAGCTGAAATCCACGAAGTGCCAAATTCAAAATTCAACTTCCAGTCTGGGAAAATATTAAGTCGTCCATACAATTTCTCTGGCAATAGCTTTAGTTTTTGAACGTGATTTCATGGGATAATCAATACAAAGTGAAACATCGTTGATACTGAATTCGAACCATAGAAAAAGCGCATTACAAAATAATCGTATCAAATCTGAATATAAATTTCCTTGAAAATTACGCGTTGTCTGAATTCATCGTTGCAGGAAATAAATTCGAATCAGTTCCGAGGCGGGGTTATTGTGTTAGAAAATTATATATAGAATACCGAAACTAATTGCTTCGAAACCTGTTCGGTTGTTTAATATCCGAGGTCAAGCGAAATTGTCTTTTTTCGACGCCACTCAGCTGTGAAATATATTATGAAACCAAACGATTTGTCTCGCAACCTTGTTTACCAACAACACGAAAAACTGAATATATCAAACATAAATGAAAAAAACTGTAGAGAAAATTATGACGAAATAGAGTTTAATGAGTATTATACGCTGGCTATATCGAATAATAATAATATAATAGGTCTACTTCATCTTCCCCAGACGCCAACTCATTTAGTGAAACACGCGCCTAGAAGAATGTTGCAGTTTTAGTGTTTGGAGCAATGATTGTTTGGATATGATAATAATTGGTGGAAAAACAGCACTCACCCCAAACTGGGCAGAGCTCGCAACTCTTTCATGGAAAAGGCAGAGCGTCAAATTTCGTTCCCAGAGAATTTTATAAATTTGAAAACCATCTGCCCTGCATTCAGCATCCCTTTGAGAACCCAACCTTCGACAGAGTTTTTACACAAGACTCGGTATACAGCGTGTATTGATTATCTCCAGATACCTGGAGATCCTGAAAAACTGATGCCTCTTCAAAGACGAAAACCATGGGGCCCTGGGCTCAGCACCCCTTTGAGTACCCAATCATTGACATATTTGTTACGCAAGTCTCGGTATGGAACTTGTACCAATTGTCTCAAAGAGTAGAACTTTTTTCCATTTCATCAGCTACTTTTATACTCTAAAGAACAAATAGGCGTATTTTCCTTCAGAAGGGCTGTGGTTTAGGTTGTAGGTACAGTTGCATTTGAAGGCATAAAATCTGATATAAATCTTTTATCAGGAGGTCAGCAGCTCCATAACCTTCCAGTACATTGTGCCAGGAATCCAATCCAGAGACAATTTGTTGAGTTTTTCTAATGGAGAGTTTTTTGGCAGTTCAATATCAACTTGGACGTTGCATGGTGTGAGTCGAATCCTTCCAGAACCGTCCAGTCTCTAAGAATCTTATTATCGATTTATAATTATAAATTGCACCGGAATCCAAAGATAATTTCGATCTATATGTGAACCAACATATGTTCTTAGTATTTCCCCTTCCAGAGAATCCAGTCTTTGTTACTCTGGATTGAGATTGTATAATGCAGGTCGTAATAGATTGTTTGAGGTACCAGGTCAAAGGTTATTCTCAGAATACTCTGATTGTCAATGTCGACCAGTAGTTTGCTATGCTCCGCATACCTATGCCTGTTTTGAGTAATTGGCAATATGCACAATTGTATTTGTTGTCCATCTAGCCTCTCTCTCAAGAGGAATGTGGAAGGAGTTGAGTCTAGAAAAATTTCTATAGCCTGGACTATCTCTGTTGCTGATGGCACCGGAGATAGACAGGCAAGGCTGTCTCGAGAGCTTCGCCTGAGCAGTTGCTGTGAAGTTTTCGAACACCAGGCAATTGGTCTGTCAATCGTTCATCCAATAGACTCGTTTGACACCTGAAACCCAAGATTTTTCACAGATTCTTTGTCCTCAGGGATGATCTGACTTTGTGCAGAAACCTTTTACAAGTGAGCATTTAAGGTGAGTTTTGATCGGGGATGATACTTAGATATTTTCCACTGCAAATTGAATAACTTGAGCTTTAAACGAAAGTGGAGTTGAAACACCCAGAGTCATTTCCTAGTGAAGGCATTGAGTCGGAGGTCATTTTCAGAATGCCACAGCTTTTAATGTCAACCAGTACAATGCACAATGTGTCTCTCCCCAGAAATGTGTGAAGAGGAGGTACGTCTAGAAGGATTTCGATGACCGCTGACGGTGTGGCGAAGATGGCACCAGATAAAGCCAGACAAAACTGTTTCTACGCTAGAAAGCACTAGAGAACAGAGTTATAGTTATACATTGATATACTCTCTTAGATAAGTGAAGTGGAGGTGAAGAGAGTTGAACTGATTAATTGTCCACAAGAGAGAATGTTTGTGGATAGAACCTTTCCAGTATGGTTACTAATCTCGAGATAATGGAGATTGAAGTGGTTTTATATAAGACTTGACTTGGATTTGGAACGTATTGATTAAAACTCTGTCAACGAGTTGGAACCTGTAAAGCAGAAAATACAAATCAAAACTACAAAAATCATTTGACTTCTGGAGTATTCTTCAATTACATAGAAGACTTCATTCAGATTACGAAAACATGAATTTTGGCTTGTTCATATGAGCTTCAATTGGGTACCCAGTTATAGCCTGCCAGGGCAGGTCTTGGACACCTTCATGGCTCCGTCGGGAATGGCTATACAGGCTCTTGATCCACCAAATGTAGTGATTGGTGCTAGGTGCTTGAGACCGTGATGCATTTCAACACAACACATTCAATTTGAAATTACAGTAATTTTTTTAAATATATTGAATAATACTTGAGTTTTTTCCCCACACCAAATCGTTATTTTTAACACCTCGACACGTGTTTCGATCACCAAGTGATCATCTTCAAAGAGAAAGATTAAAACAGTTTGTAAAATGTTGTTTTATTTGTTTATAGAACATCATTGAAATACTAAAAAAAGTTGAACAATGCTAATTTGTAAAAATAAAAAAATCAACTAATAATGGATTGAACAATCAGTAAACTGTCAATTATATATATGAACAATAAAAAAGTGAAATTGTAATACAATAGAATGAAATAATCAAAATCAATCATTGAATGATAAAAATACAATGGTTTTCGGGTGATAACTAGTGATGGCGATTGTAGATACTAACAAACGAAACGTCGTGAGGTAACTTGAAATAATTTTTTTATTTTGCCTTTTTTTCATCATTTATCGTAATTATTTTATCTCATACTAACAATGGAAACGTCGTGAGGTAACTTGAAATAATTTTTTTATTTTGACTTTTTTTCATCATTTATCGTAATTATTTTATCTCAGTGTGTTTATTTCACTTTTATATGGTTTGTATTTATTTGAAATGTCACTTATCATTTAATCCAGTATCATTTCATATTACGATAATTCGTTTTCTTCACAAATTAGCGTTCTTTCAATTTTTGTTTATTGATTTTTGCCCAATTTCTCTCTTTTTTAAATTTCTTCTGTTTCCTAACTAACTCAATCGAATATTTTGATTTGATTGTTTTTAGTATTTTTAATAATGCTAACACATAATTAATTTTTATTTTATTTATTCTTATTCTTTATCACTATTTGGTATACTGACTGTCATTTATCTATGAACCCACAAACACTCATAGAGAGATCTGGAATATCTGATGTTATGTTTAAGGTTTATAAAAAAAAATCGAATTCTTGTTTCACATGTTCTTTCCGACACAAAAAAAATTATCAGACTTTAAGTGACATTTTTCTATTTGATTCAGATAGATAAATGCATACCTAGCCCAACTCAATAATTACTATTATTAGCACAATCCAGGGTGGCACCTAAGGTCACTTGACATTCTTTCAAGTACTCACGCTTTTTTTTTTCAGATTCCTTCGTCAACTCGCAAGAATGGACTCTGTCCCGCACAGTGCCGGACTTGCGATTGGGCATTGTAGGCTCCCTATCGTCCGGCAAATCCGCCCTGGTGCACCGTTACCTCACCGGCTCTTACATGCAGGAAGAGTCGCCTGAAGGTGGTCGCTTCAAAAAAGAAATCGTTGTTGACAATCACAGTTATCTGCTGTTGATCAGAGATGAGGGTGGACCTCCGGAGTTACAGGTGAGGAATTGTTTTTGAACAACGAAGAAATATGAAGATGTGATTATTCTTGTCACATTTTCTTCATTCCTTCATCTGAAACTTTATCAATAGTTTAAGTTGAGATTGCTGAGTAATGATACTATAAAATTGACCTCACACTACTTAAGTAAAGTCTGAATTTTTATTTGTCAGTAAACACTGAGTACACACACTGAGAATGTTTAATATGTTATAAACTCAATAATGTTACGACACATGCTGTGTAGAGGGAGCGTCTCTCAGAAATGAATTTTTCCATAGCTAATTTGTCTATTTCAAACTGAACTTGTGATTTTCATAAATTAGTTATAGATACTGTAAGAATATAGGTTTTAACGGCCGGGGTCGTGATTAAAGAGAACAGAATCCGGCATGTTAGGCAGTGGAACTGGTAGTACCAAATGTTTCATCTGCTATTGCTGCAGACATCATCAGTGGTATATGCGTTGACTCGAGAACGAAGGTTATGTCTCGAAGTTTTTGCAACGACTGACCGGCAAGCTCCGTATTCATTCGTATTTATAATTTTAGAAGGTGGTGGGGGTGATGTTGACGATGGTGGTGGAGTATGGTGAGGATGGTGGTGAGGATATCCATGCGACTTTTCACTCCTGATTGGTCCGCACTTTTGCCATCAAGTTCTGATTGGTCCACGTTGGTGGGCTGCCAGTGGGATGTTTATCGGAGTTGTATTCTAGTTCATTTCTGATCCTTTTAGGTAGTGGATACCGTATTCTGTTGACCCGTTAGTTTCTGTTGAAATTGTTGAGATAGTTATAGATCCCAGTGGCGTCCCTATGAAGTAGTGCACGGTAATGCGTTGAACTACTCAGGACAGCTGTTACTTCGTATTTTATCACGTGGTATGTTTCTGCTAGGCGTTCTGTAACTGCGGATTTCTCCGGTTGCATGAGGTGGCAGTTACGCTTGTGTTCTTGGTGTTAATACTTCTTTTAGTAGTTTCAATGTTAACTGAAGTACAGGAAAAAGGAATTCTGTAAACACCGGCGAATGTCAGATGTTATGTTTTGTCCTTGACCGATCTGTCAAAACAGTTTTCCAATACGGTCCGTGACATTATTCATGTGAGGCAAATTGTCTGTGCCAACCATTGATGGCTGAATCGTGGTAACAATCGAAGAGTACTTCTTCAAGGATGAAGAGCATGTTTGAATTCTTTCGTTGCAAAACCTTTGGCCTGTAGAGTATGGTATGCATGACAAAGTTTTCCAGTTTTTCAAGATATTGCACACAAATTCTGTTGGCCCAATCCACAATAGTTTTCATTATAGCACGTTTTTGACCAGGATGGTGGTTTGAATTCTTGTCGAGATATCGATCAGTATGTGTGACCTAGTTTTCTGTCAGTTTTTCGTTGACGAGTACATGGTATCTTTCCTTAGTTTTCCTTTTTCATCCAGTTTACAATGGATCTCGGGGGGTCAAACTGCATTCCATGCGCTAATACAGGAAATCTGTGGAGAAATAAAAGAGATCAGTAAAGGAAAACTATAGTAATCACTTCGTTGTGGTTTTCAGTATCCGTGAGGCAAACTCGAGAATGTGTACAAAAACCACAAAGAGTAAAAAAAACCTTAGGAAGTTGATAACCGTTATGTACATATCTTAAAAAAAACTGTTAAAATCTATTTTTCCGTTAACCAGCTGTCGCCCTCTACGAACGACAACTCTCAAAAGTCGAAACTTGTGCGAGCTAAGGACTAACGAGGTCTTACCTTTCAACTTGTGATTCCTAACACACATATAGGTTATTCAAAAAATTAACATTGTATTTTTCACTCTTTTCAATTAATTTGACTTATATTTTGACTTTTAATGACTGAGCCACTTTTCACCTCATACCGCTGGCTATTCAAAAATAGTGATAAAGAAGCAATCAAATATGGACCACACTGTATAACATATTGAGAAACTTGACGTGTCCGAATGCCTTTCCTGGCTGCCATTGTATAAGCCAAAAATGAACACGTTTTGCATTACTTTATTTTTATACCGCGCACTGGCGTCCAATAAAAAATCGTCACGTTCCACGCAGGAACATTGAACCGCATTTTTCTTTGTAATCAGCTAACGGTAATAATGACCGATAGTACAATTAATCATTAATAGACTTGTCGAAGCCGACCACTTTATACGGTGTAGGTATGCATCCATCTCCGTCGTCGAGAATGATGTACGTCGTTGTTCTGATTTTATGATAAACGACGACAAGACAAGCCATAATGTTATGCGTCGGATCCGTCAGATAGGTCGGAGATTTATTTTAGAGAGAAGAAAAGCGAGTCACGAATATCATCGGTGGAGATTCAGTTTTTTACGGCATTTCACAGTGGCATAACAAACTGTAGGAAGAGTTTCAAATCCGGCTCGAAGGGCCAATGTCGTCTGCTTAATCTTATTTATTCGCAGGCTGTCCCGGTGAACTTCATACTATCTTAGAATTATTAAAAATGAAGTGTTGAGTTCTTAAGTGAGTTACGTTAACTTTTATTTGTGTAGTAAGAAACTGAGCCATATTAACATGGCCAGTATTGCCAGGTCTTCTATATACTTTGCGGTAGATATTGTGTCAGAAAGAAAGTAGACTGTTACAAATAACAGTAGAAGATTTTTTTTCGCAATATTCCGCAGTCAATATAACTTTTTTCTTCAATTATCTAAATTGAAAGTGGTATATTTTTAGGAGAAATCAATTTTAGGAAGGAATACTTTTGGCTTTCTACTTCTACTTCAATAAATCATTCTGCTATTGCGAGCGGAAACAAATCTAACGAATCAAAAACTGAGAAAATCGATCCAGCCGTTCTTGAGTTAAAATGGTGTCACTGAATACAATTTTTCCCCTTTATATTATATACAGTGTGGATGCCAATAGTCCCTCCTTTCGTAACTTTTTAAAGGAACAAATTATCAAGGTCGGAAGAAAAATAACGTAAGAGGGTGTAACTTTCAGAACTTTTTGATAGAAAAGACGATAGAGTTGCATCACTCGTCGTCAAGAGGGATCTTTTAAGGGACCACGTCTGCTTGTCTTCACATTTATTCATCAACTCATCTGTCACTTGGAAATTGTGAAATATTCTGATGACCGATTGAAAACATACGAAGTCTGTTCAGAAAATGAGGTGAATTTTCATATTTCTCTGAACATATGTATGTAATCTTCAATTTCTATTTTATCCTCTTCAATATAGCTCCCTCCAGATATAATACACTTATGCCGGGGTTTTTACAATCCTCCAAGCAATTCTGAAATGCAATTTTTAGTATGTCTTTGAACTCTTTAGAGACTCGGGTTTTTTCTTCTCAATCGTCGCAAAATGCAGTATTTTTATGAGTCTCTTCAATCTTAGAAACAGGAAAAAATCTCAGGGTGCCAAATCTGGTGAATTCGATGGCTGAAGCATGATTAGTGTGTTGTTTCTGGCCAAAAATTAGGAACAACCAATGACGAGTGAGCAGGTGCATTACCGTGATGCAAAAGTCATGAATTGTTTTTCTATAATACTTCAAGATGATATTACTTATTGATCATAGAACCATGTGGCAAGAACTCCTGATGCACTACGTCACGGTAATCGAAGAAAACAGTGAGCATTTGATCGTACTTGGCGTGCTCTTTTAGTCGTGGCTCTCCTGTACTCTATTGGGACGATTGGACTTTGATTTCCATGTCATAACTATATACCCAAGATTCGTCACCAGAATAACTTTTTTAGGCAAATCTGGTTCACCATATGGAACAACGGATACTCATTGAAAGGCGTGGCGGCACACGACTAACTCATAAAGTGTATCGAAAATCGACACATACGGACTGATATCTGCATGCACTTTCGAACCACCATCCAAGTCAAAAGCGGGGAATTTCAACACCCTGACGGAACGTGCCCGTGGAATATGTGAATCGGAACACCTCCAAGAAGAATTGGATCATCTTCAAGTGGCTTTAAGATCGAATGGATACAGTGTAACCGAAATCTAAAAGGTCATGAAACTAAAGACTTCTACAAGTCAAAATAAGGAGGAAACGGTTGCACGTGCATTTCTACCGTACATCTCTACGGTAACAGACAGAATCGGAAAAATCTTAGGGAAGAGATCCCCTATCAGCTGCGGGGGTATATCGTATACCGTGCACCTGCGGAAAAGTTTATATTGGTACCACCAAAAGATCCATGGGTACAAGACTGAATGAACATCGGAGAAACTGTAGATTAGGTCAAAAAGACAAATCGGCAGTAGCGGAACACGCACTTAGTGAAGGAGATAACACGATACTATTTGAAGATGTGAAACTACTGGTCCCCGATGATGGATACGACAGTCGGCTTGTACGGGAAGCCATAGAAATCCATAAACATACGAAAAACTACAACAGAAAAGAGGAGGTGGTGAAGCTCAACAGGATTTGGAATTCTATACTGAAAGATGTTAAAGTGGCAACAGGGCAATGCAATTTTTCGTCATTAACAGGTAATAACACTTCGGTCAATAGCAACGCATCAACAAGAGAGGCGGACTACCTGTGTCAATATAAATACAACCTACGAACTAGAAATCACCAGTCATCGGTGAATCATCAAGATGAATAAACCTCTGAAGAAGCCAACCACTCGTGCTGGCGAAACGTTGGATGCCGTTCCTAACTACGACGGCCTTCAACAATTCCTGAACGATGGTTTTTACACGATTATTTTGGTCAAAATTCAGCAATTTTGGAACGAACTTCGCTGCCACACGCATCATGCTAAAAGTTTACGAAAAAAATTGCATGGCAACACTTCTTCTAGCCTCTGACCAAGAAAAAAGCCATGCTCAACAGCTGAAACTGAACATATTTCGAGACGAGTGTACCAACATAAAAAAATTAACCTTCTTTTTTGAACAGAACTCGTGTATGGATTGGTTGATTGATTTCCAGGACCGACTCGAAACGGAAAAAGAAATTCCTAAAA